TTTTTTTTTTTCTGAGACAGGGTTTCTCTGTGTATCTTTGCACCTTCCCTGGAACTCACTCTGTAGCCCAGGCTGGCCTCAAACTCACAGAGATCCACCTGTTCAGCCAAGAAATCTCTTTTAGGTGTTTGCTAAAGTTTACAAAGTAGTCCTATAGAGTGTTTGATTTTTGAATGTAAGTTTGTAAGAAGTTTAAATATGTATAGTAAATATTCATGCTAGTTGTAAATACGTATAGTAATGTTCATAATAGAATTATGTTGATATTAATGCACCATGGTTTGGTGAAGGTAAGGGAATCTTTAAGTTTGATGCAGTTTATTTGATGTGTTTGCATCAAGAATTTATTGATTTAAAAAAGGGCTTGGCACAGCTAAGGCTGTTATAAATATTTTAGACCTATTTAAAAAGGACATTCCATCTTGGTCATTCTCTACTCCTTTACTGGAGGATGTGGCAGCTCTAGGGATTGCTGTGGTTGTTCCAACTGCTTGCAAGCTCTCAGTAGGGACCTGAGTCAGAGCTGAGTTAAGTTCTGTACCCTCTCCTGTCAGAGGCTGGTAGTCAGAGACAGGCAACGTTCTTTTTTCTAGCTTCCGACCTAAGACAGAATATGCTTGATGGAAAATGTATCTCCATGATGGGTAAGGTTTGTCTAGCTGAAGAAGATAAACTAAGGCAGACACAATCTATCTGTGGGGCCTGACGGACTCTTTAATATTAAGAAGTGGGAGCTTTGGAGGCCCATAGAGGTTTTCTAGTGAGCTTGCTTTACCCAGCAGGGCTGTATAAGGGGATGACTTGACCATATGCATGGTTACCAGGTGTGTGGAAGGGTCTGCACTTGGCTGTGTGGCATGCTTTGATCTAGCAAGGGGGAGGTCTTTTGCCTCACCCTGTGGCATTGTTATCAAAAGCCCTTTTGAAGAGACAGAATGGGCTGATGGATTTTGATCCAAGTCCTCCTGAAGGTATCCTGTGTTTCTTTCTGTATCATCTCTGTTCTGCTACCTTTTTTTTTTTGTTTTTTTTTGAGACAGGGTTTCTCCTTGTAGTTTTGGTGCCTGTCCTGGATCTTGCTCTGTAGACCAGGCTGGCCTCGAACTCACAGAGATCCACCTGCCTCTGCCTTCCAAGTGCTGGGATTAAAGGTGTGCACCACCACCACCTGGCTCTCTGCTATCTTTCTATCTACAAATTTCTTATTCTTCTCTCCTCCTCATAGGAAACCTGTAAAAGGTGGGAGCTGGAAAAGGAAAGCCACTGCCAAACTTTGCCAAAACGAGGCAGGACATTCCTTCAAAATTCCTGCTTCATAGAAATGTCTGCTAGAGGGCTGGAGAGATGGCTCAGTGGTTAGGAGCACTGGCTGCTCTTCCAAAGGTCCTGAGTTCAATTCCCAGCAACCACATGGTGGCTCACAACCATCTATAGTGAGATATGGTGCCCTTAAAACCTTCCTTTTTATTTAGACAAAAAGGGGGAAATTTTAGGAATATTACTTTGACTATATAAAGGTGTATTGCTTTTGTTTGTTTGTTTTGTTTTTTGAGACAGTGTTTCTCTGTGTAGTTTTGGTGCCTGTCCTGGATCTCGCTCTGTAGACTAGGCTGGCCTTAAACTCACAGAGATCGGCCAGACTCTGCCTCCCGAGTGCTGGGATTAGAGGTATATGCTACCACTGCCTGGAGTATTGCAATTTTTTTTTTTCTGCAGTTTTTTTTCCTCCATAAAAACTAGTGTTTATCATGAAAAGAATGGAATTGGGGTGTGGCTCAGTGGTGGAGCACTTGCTTAGCACACAGGGGCCCAGCAGCATATACATACATCCTAATGTGATGAGATGGTGGTGCTGATGACAAAAGGTCCCAGAGCAGGGCATGCTGGCACATCCTAGAACTCTGGAGGTTGAAGCAGGAGGACCTTCAGGTCAGGCCAGCTTGGGCTACATAGTGCGATCCTGTCTCAAAAAGGTAAAGTAGCTGGGTGGTGGGTGGTCCATGCCTTTAACCCCTGCACTTGGGAGGCAGAGGCAGGAAGATCTCTATGACTTCAAGGCCAGCCTGGTTTACAGAGGATTTCCAGGACAACCAAGGTTACACAGAGAAACCCTGTCTTCAATGCGCTCCGCCCCCCACAAAACCCTCAAAAAAACAAACATAAAAAACCCCCAAACAAACAACAACAAAAAGTAACAAATTAACAATTCAACCATCATATGATGGTTCATAAAGGCTCTTCTCTCCTAAAGGCCCTGTCTCCCGGGTTTGCCTAGTATGCCTACTGTTTTAGTTTGGGTTTTTATTGCTGTGAAGAGACACCATGACCCGGCAACTGTTATAAGGAAACATTTAATGGGGTGGCTCTCTTACAGTTCAGAGGCTCGGTCTACTATGATCATGAAGGGGAGCATGGCAGCGCGCAAGCAGATGTGTGGCTGGAGCTGAGAGTGCTACATCTTGCAGACAACAGGAAGTCCACTGACTGTCACACTGAGGGAAGCTGGAGCAAAAGAGGCTTCAGAGCCCGCCCCCACAGTGACACACTTCCTCCAACAAGGCCACACTCCTAATAGTGCCCTCCTGTTTGTTGTTTTATCTTCCCCACAGTGGCTGCACTGTTATCTACTGCTATTTCCGCCAGCAGTTGCGACTCTGCAGGTTCTAGCCTGCTTCTCTAGCAGCGGCCTGGCTGCCCAGGCTGCAGCCTGGTGGGAATTCTTTTCCGGAAGGCACTGGCTCTGTTGCTGCCACTAAAGTTAGCTCTAACAAAATCTCTGTCTTGTGATTGACCACCCTTTGGGGACCATTTTCTTTCAAACCATCGCACCTACATACAGATGTCAGAATTCTCAGGTGCTTCCATTCTGTGTTTGTGCTTGGGGGCAAAGGCTGGGTGCTGGATCTTCTGCCTTTCTTTTCTTTTTTTAAATAGGGTCTCATGTAGTCTAGGCTGGCTTTGAACTCAGTATGTAGGCAAGGATAATGACATGATTCTCCTGCCTGAGCCTCCCAAATGCTATGATCACAGATGTGGACCACCACACCAGGTATTTACAGTGGTAGAATCCAGTTTTGTTTTGTTTTTGTTTTTTTTTTTTTTAATGCCTACTACCAACTGAGTTGCAATGTCATCTAAAGAATCAGTTGTAATATAGATTAAGCACAGGCATTAGGAGAGAGCCTGAGAAAGCATTACACATTAGTGTGCATATGGGCTTCTCAAGAGAGAGTTGCCGAGTATTGGCTCTTTTTATTTCTAGTACCTGTGAACACTTCTGAGAAACAGTAGGCAGTCAATGAATAATACTGTACAGAATGGCTAGAATTTAATTTCCATTTTCATGTGTTTACTAAATAAATAGTCCCTAAATGTGACTGC